CTTTAAATCTTCCATCTGTATTTCAGGTGTTCAGGATAAAAACTGCCGAATTAGGAATTATGTCAGCAGGAGAATCTGTGCTCTGGAAGGATCTTCAGTGAACATCACATGTGAATACTCACATCCTGACAACAGGAAGCAAGAGTTCAAATGGAGTAAAAAATGGAGAAAAGATAAAGTGGAAGTTGAAGAGCTGATTGAGGCTGCAGGTGGTGTGAAGTATCAGGACAACATGAAGAACCAACACATCCTGACCATCAACAACCTGAAGAAGAATGACTCAGGAGGATACACATTCAGATTCAAGAGAGATCATGAAGGATGGACACAGTCTGATCTGCCTGGAGTCTTTTTGATTGTTACAGGTAAATCTTAGGTAAATTCATTGTATCTGTCAGTGCCATTTATAGGTTGCTAATCTGTAGGCCAACAAAACCCCTTTACAAGAAATTGATTTCGGCTTGCTGATGAAAAAAGCAAAGTGTATCAATACATTCATGTGTTTGATTTGCAGCTGTGGCTGTTTAAGGATCAGTTCATTTTAACTACCTTACATGTATACTGTTGATTAGATTAATCTACAGTAATAAAACTCTATCTGTAAGATCACCATTTCAAATGTTGACATTCTGTCAGATCAGTGTATCTCTGAATAGTCGACTTTAAAAGGACTCAGACAACCTGCCTGTTTCTGACTCTAAAAATAACTGTTACATGTAATGTAGAAGGGTTTTAGGCTTCACATCCTTCAAGTTTTTTTCTTCTGTAAAAAATGCATGAAGGTATATGTAGTATTTTTATAGTTGTGCTTGTGTAAGATTTACACAGTTCTTAACAACTCTACATGTACACTGTTGGCTAGATCAGCCTTCAGTGCCTTCAGTGAAATAAATCATAGGTATGAATGATATGAAAATGTAGGTATTTTATTTTATTAGGAAAATGATTCCAAATCATGGTAAAAAAAAAAAAATGGAGAAAACACTAATTTACAAAATGGAAAAAATGTTGTGGAGTAATAATTACAATACTTTTGTGTAAGAGGATTTAGATTGAAGTTACACAAATCTGAATTTACAAATACCTTGAATTTGCACACTTCTTTGGTAAATACCTTTCACCACTGAACAGGACTAAAGGATCATTTTGTAGTAAAGTCATGAAACCATCTTTCATGTCTAAGCCACACAGGAAATTTTTTGTTTTTGACCAATGTTCCT